TTGAACTTCCTGCTTCATATTTATATCGGGCCATACTCCTCATTACAGTCCTTGTGCTTTGCTATTAAGCAGAAGGTGAATGAAAACTAAAACACTCAGAAAGCCTATTAGGATTTCTACAGAGTGAAGCCACAATCCACTCAAAGAGACGTCATTCATAATTAAGGTGCAGTCATGGTTCTCAAAATAGCACATTGGACTAGGTCAATTAGAAAGAAAATCAACCTTAATAGCCTCAGCTTTATTCCTCTTTACTGATTCTGTTTGTTTAGACTCACAGAACTCTTCGAAGAAGTTTTGGTGCCAGGCTGGGAGGAAGCTGTGTTCCTTAATAGACATTACTGAAGAATAATGAAAACTCACCAGAAAGATTACTCAAGTCAGTGAAGCGTTACTCAAAATGTCACCAGATCAACATAGGGCCAATCATAGCTCTCCACAAGGTTTGCAAAAATGGGACAGAACTGAACACACACATGTTTATTCTTCTGCATATGCTCAGGCAACGTTCCCACTAACAGCAGTGTACGCCAGTTAAAAAAGGACATACTTCACACAGTTTAGGTGAGTCCTGTGAATATACTGCAAACTGGCTTTTAAATAATTCAAATAATTTTAAATAATTCAAAATATATTGAGAAGTACATTATGGGCCGTTTCCAATAGACAACTCTCTGCCTGAGGAAATCATTTTAAAGTGTCCCCAAGATTTCTTGCTTGTTTGATCTTTAGTCAAAGATCAAGGATAACATCTGCTGAGATCACTTGAGTTCTAGCGTGGACCAGTTTGGTCCCACTGGTATTGCTTGCCCCATTCCCAGTGCTTAAGACAGGTTTCACTTTTGGCCTTTAGCTGATACATTCAAATGCTATTTGTTTACCGTCTTTGCCAAGCTACATTTAGGATACCTGAGTTGTGCCACGTTGACTCTTTATAGCCATGTCACGTTGCACTAGTTGTGGGAGCTTTAACACACCTCTGAAATCACTTTACATTTACTTAGGGCTTGTCTAGACGAGCATTTAGTTTGTGGCAAGTTGGGGTGTAAATCGACCTCACACTAGCCTGCTGTGCACTAAGGGCCCTTGCGAACCCTGCTGCAGTGTACCGGAAGTTCCCTAGTGAGCTTTGATCTAGTCCAGTTTCAACGTGGTGTCACTCTGCGACTGCATTAGGAAACCGTTGGAGCGCAGCAGCCGGGTGCACAGGGACAATGAGTGAACAGCAGGCTAACATGGGGTAGATTTACACCCCACCTTGCTGTGAACTAAAAACATGTCTACACAGCAAAAAACACCCGCAGCAGTGAGTCTCAGAACCTGGGTCAACTGACTCAGGCTCGTGCTACCGGGCTAAAAATAGCAGTGTAGGCATTCCTGCTCGTGCTGGAGCCCAGGCTCTGAAATCTGGTGAGCTTTTACAGATGGGGAAACTGAGGCATACATGGTGAAGGTCACCCAGAGCTGGTAACTGGATTATGCTCTAACTAATTACCTGATGCTTAACTGTCATTCAGTAAAAAGTGCAGCTAACAGGCAATATCTCTTAGATTTAAGGCTCATCTTACTCAAGCGAAGAGTCCCACTGACTTCAGCTGACATTAACTGGACAACGCACTTGAATAAAGTGAGCAGGATTTAGCTGTTAATATGAGAGCTGATGTAGAATAACTACATCCTCGTTGATTACTAGATCCAACAAGTGTGTCCTACTGGAATCTTTTCTGAATGCAGAGTTTTTAACAACCAGTAGCATTTATTTAACCCCCTATATAAAGTAAATGAAAGGGTGTATCAGATCCGAAATTTGAAGGGAAGCCATACTGGTTGGGTTCCACTGCCAGAACATTCACGCAGTTCACACGTGACTGTGGCTTAGGCAAGTAGAAGTCAGGACCGATTAATTGTTCTTGCCTGGTGTTACCTAGAGAACAGGAAGGTTGGAATGAAAGGCTGGAGGGGTCTGAAAGACAGCCTCTCCCCTGTTCTTGCTACAATTTCACGGTACTTTCCTTTACTAGAAAAGAGGAAGAAAGAAGAGATACGGAAAGGGTGCCTGATCGTATTGTAGGGCGTTTATACTTTTCAGCTTATGTCTTAGGGGAAAACTCCAGCAATTTCTGTCTCCCCAAGCATTACTACTATAGTCTCCTGAAGTGAAGCCAAAACAAAAGACCCTGGGCCAGACCCCCAGGCCCAGCTGGCAAAAATCGGCACAGCTCTGTTGAAGTCATAGAGCGACGCTGATTTATGCCAACTGAGGATCTGGCTCAACAGGTTTAATGCAAACAATTTTTCTGGTTCTTCTTCAGTCAATACATAATTAGTTCAAAAAAGACAAGCGAACAACAAAAACTAAGATGCTTACGCACTCTGCTAGAAAACACACAGCAACCGCATCAGGAGAGACTTCTAAACAATGGATGGAATGTGCTTTCCAACTCTCGCTCATTTCCAATAATGAGCAGTACAGAGCCGGTGACTGGCAGGAAATATGTCACACTATAAGCCTGATTATCCCAATGCAATGGGGACAGTGAATAACTGCAGATAGCAAAGGGGATTTGCAGTGTAATTAGCAGACACCAGGAACACGATCCTGTTTTGGATAACGGTTTCAGATGGGATATCTGAATTCCACTCTTTTTGTGCTATACGTTCATACTGCTGTGCCTGATTCGCCTCCGATTTACCCAGATGCAAATCAAAAGCAGCTCCCTTGAATTCAATGGCGTTACACACATAAAAGGCCTGGCTGTCCCCACACCAGTGTAGGTACATATGTATGTACACATTTACATACTACATAGATTCTGAACCAGACCCTTCCCTGGCGTAACTCACAGATAAGTTGATCGACGCCAACAGGGGATCTGACCCTCTGGTTTCAACTGAGTTCTCCTGATTTGCCCCTGAGCTTGTGAGAGCAGTCTCCAGGCCCTATGGTCTCAATCTCTCACAGCCTGGACAGAGTGGAGAGCAGGGTGGCTGCAGGGAGCCGGCTGCTGCTACTTGATTCAGCCCTGGGGCAAGCTCAAGCTGCCAGGGTCAACTTAACTTACGTCACTGGCCTAAGGTCCCTCAGGGACCTTACATCAGTGAAGGGGCAGGCAAAGATGAGCTCAGATGTGACATGATCCCTTCCCTCCCTGCCCCTCCCCTTGGGGATGGGAGAGAGTAGAGCTACCTCCACCAGATTTACACCAACAGAGAGTTACCCGGCACAGCGGTAATTCTCCACTAACGGCTTGCAGTGGCTAATAAACCTGAAAATACAGACCATATATGTAACGTAACTCAAATATGTAATATAGCTCAGATGACTAAGGAGCCAGCACCTCTTTCATACAAAGCCTTTTAAATTTTTCAGATTTTTGCCCCACATTCCTAAATGGCCTCCTCAAGGATTGAACTTACAACCCTCCGTTTAGGAGGCCAATGCTCAAACCACTGAGCTATCCCTGAAGAGAGTAGCTAAGCTGGACTCTCTAGACCTGATTCTTCACTGCTTTGCACCTTGTCTAGTCATTCATGCTTGTGCAGAGTGGCTGTAAAACAAGATCATTACGATCTAGTAGCATTTTATACTCACTTTGCACTCCACAAAGTGCTGGGCAACAAAGAATCAGGCAGGCAGTACTCAAAAATTACACAGCATTCTATAGTTAACGATGCCAACTCCAGGACCGATCCTCAGCTGGTGAACACAGGTGCAGCTCCACTGATTTCAACAGACCCCAATTTCCAGCATCTAAGAATCTGGCCCTAGAATCCTGGAGTTTCCCAAAGACTGGAAACACTTATTTTCCACCCTGAATTTCACAGAACGCTTTAGACAATCGGCGATCCAAAGCACTTCATCATTTCGGATGTGTTTACAGAAAGCAAACAAGTTGTGGGGCTGCCCCTGCTGGCACAGCCAAAGGTTAAGGCCTTGCAGCATATTCCCTCCCACTCTCAAATTCTTCTACATTAAGGCTACTTCCTGTTTGGAACCAAAGTGTCAACCATTGATACACAATATAGACAGGTAGCAGACACAGCCTGAAATGCTACCATCTGTGTAATAAAAAAACCCCGTGACTGTTCTGACGGTAAAATATCACAATGAAGCACTAAACTGTGATGCTTCTCTCAAGTAACTACTGTTGGGAATGAAAGATCTACAAGCAGGAAGTACTAAGCTTGAACTCTCAAAGCGTTTTGATTTATTTTCAGTTCAAAACAACCTTTTGTTTCAAAATTTCCATCAGTTTTACAAAAACAAACAAACAAACAATTAAAAATGGTCAAAATAAAAAGGGAAACATTTGGATTTTGTCAAAATGAAATACTTCTTTCAATCTGAATGAACTCTTTTTTCACTTTTCAATTCACTGAAAATTTTCCTTGATTTTTCAGAATTCCCAGCAAATCAAAAAAAACGCGTTATTTGCACAGCTCTAATCTTCAGATGCCTCAATACCTCTACACATCTATCCCTTGGTCCAAAGCAATGGAGCTACTCCAGATTTACCCCAGTGCAGTGGAAAGCTGAATTTGGCCCTACTTCTCTAATTGTCTTCTCCAGGACTGACAAAGTTCTATACAGGAGAGGAAAGGAAAGCACACCCGAGTTAACCAGTCTCCCCTTGGGCATATCAGCAACAAGAGTGACTAGCTACTCTGTGCACAGCCCCACACAAACATTATCAACGACAGCAAAGTTGTCCCTTGCTCAGGGCACAAGATTGAGTTTATTTCCCTGGCATTATGCTGGAGGTGTGCGAAGGGCTAAGTGTGAGGTGAGATAATTACTCTGACACAATCCCACTTCCTGACGCTTCAAAAACTTGACACTTACACGGGTATAAATTGACGCTTCTCCCCGACGAGGGAAGTTGTGTTTGACAACGGACCCAGCTGAGGATCTGTCCCAGAATGCAATTCAAAGTACATAAATAACCGGAATAGGTAGAGGGCGGGAAGAGAATCATGAGCAAAACCATCTTCTCTCTCACCTGTTCTTCAGCCGTGGTTTAACTCCTCCTGACCATGCTGTTTTGCTGTGCTGTAGGTCAGTGGGGATACACTCCGGACTGAGTGAGTGGGAAGCGGGCAGGTCAGTGTGTTCCTTTGCTACACATGTGTCCCTGTCAAAAGAAACCAAGGGAGTGTCAAAGTTCATGGAGTGCCTGAGACAGACAGACACACATACATTAATGATGCGTCTGACGAAGTGGATATTCACCCACGAAAGCTTATGCTCCAATACATCTGTTAGTCTTAAAGGTGCCACAGGAGTCTCTGTTGCTTTACACATACATTAAGATCACTTTCAAAATATCAAAGAAATATGTAGATGGGGGGGGTATTACATCAAAGCCTCATTTTTAACACGCACAAAGGAAAATGTCTGATGGAAAACAGCTGCTAAAAGCCATTGATGTGCCTATTCTTCTCCATGGGAAAGATGAAAGGATACATCATCACCAAAACTGATTCGTAGGGTGAAATTCTGCTCTCCGTTATAGCTAGGCAGAGTTTGGTCATTAAAACCCTCCTCCCTAAATGTTTTGGAGCAACTGTGCAATAGATCAACATAGATTGTCACTGATCGAGAAGAATCAACAGCGGGATCAAATATAGAACGCATTGAGAGAGAGACAAAGTGGGTGAAGTAATATCTTTTATTAGGCCAACCTCTGGTGGAGGGGACAAGTTTCTGAACTTCACAGAGCTCATCCTCAGGTCTGGAGAAGGTGACCAGAGGTTAATGCATTAACTACTGAGAAGTACAAATGCTAATAGTGAGAGGGGCAGCCATTGGGCCAGGTCCTGAACGTACACATAGGAAAAGGCAGCCCTTGGCCTTTGAGATCTTACAGTCTACACCAGCGGTGGGCCAACTACGGCCTGCGGGCTGGATCCAGCCCACCAGCCATTTTAAGCCGGTGTGCGAGCTCCCGCTGGGGAGCGGGGTCTGGGGCTTGCCCCGCTTCAGCTGGGGTGCAGGGTCGGGGGCAGTACCACGCGGCTCCTGGAAGCGGCGGCATGGCCCTGCTCTGGCTCCTATGCGCTCCAATGGCACCTCCGGTGCTCCAATGGGAGCTGCAGGGGCGGTGCCTGCGGACGGGGCAGCGTGCAGAGCCGCCTGGCTGCGCCTCCCCGTAGGAGCCGGAGAAGGGACATGCTGCTGCTTCCGGGAGCTGCTTGAGGTAAGTGCTGCTCAGGGCCTGCACCCCTGTCCTAGCCCCAGCCCTGATCCCCGTCCCGCCCTCCGAACCCCTCAGTCCCAGCCCAGAGCACTCTCCTACACCCCAAACGCCTTATCCCCAGCCCCACCCCAGAGCCCGCACCCCCCAGATGGAACCCTCCTCCTCCCCGCACCCCACTCCCTCACCCCAGCCTGGAGCCCCTCACGCACCCTGAACTCATTTCTGGCCCCACCCCAGAGCCCGCACCCCCAACCAGAGCCCAAACCCCCTCCCGAACCCCAACCCCAATTTTGTCAACATTCATGGGCCGCCATACAATTTCTATTCCCAGATGTGGCCCTCAAGCCAAAAAGTTTGCCCACCCCTGGTCTACACAGACAAGACAAAAGCTACGAGAAAGGAAACGTTATCCCCGATTTACAAATGAGGCCTTAAGATATTAAGTGACTGGCCCAAGGTCACACTGGAAGTCTGTGTCAGAGCCAGGAACTGACCACTGATCTCCTGTCTCTGACTCTAGTGCTTTAACCACAAGAGCATCCTTCTTTCCTGTAAGAGGAGCAGGAGCTGCGTTGCAAAGCTGAGGAACTTAGCTTGGGTGAGCACTAGTTCTTCTTGTTTTAAGGCTGTATTCCAGGCTAGCTTTGCTAACAGCCAAACCATTGATCTCACGCCCGCAGACAAGTCCTACCTACCCGGAACGATGGCGAGATAGAAAGGTCTATCCACAGTTCAACGTTCTTCCCATTAGATTAACACACAAAGGGCTAGCCCACCCCATCAAAAACAACACAGCTGATTATTAATTATTTCTATTCTTTTAGCATAGAAAATAAAATCTCTTGAAACACTGGGTGTTCTTAATGACTCTAATTTTCACAGTCAAATGTGGGTCTGGTTTACAGTCACCTCTCTGCTAATGTAAGGAAAACACTGCCTAAAAATCTGTGTGAGACGCATGCGCTTTCCCTGTCTTTCCTTCCCTCCTGCCTAGCCCTGAGGAGAGCTGCAGACTAAGATGGGGAGTAATTGTCCCTTGTTCTACGTTTAATAGGCTTCGGTCTGAGAGCACATGCCAACATAGGAGGCTTTAGATATTTCGGATGGCTTGGATTCCATTCCTGTGAGAGGCCAGCCTTCTTTGTATCCAGTTAAATCCTCCCCCTCCAAGCCCCGCTCCCTCGCAAGCCCCCCACGTGTCAGGCAAGAATTTTAAGTCTCACATTGCAGATGAGATATACCAGGGAAACAGCAGCACTTTCACCTAGATTGGGGAATTTCATTGGTCCAGAACTAGACAGAACGGCCTCCTTCCTCCGTCTGCTTATCTGTGTCTGCGTTTTACCCCAAATCCTGCTGGAGCTGCCTTTTTTTTAAATCAAATCTCACTCTACTTTACCTCTCACCCAGTGTGACCGTGTCCTACTCCCCTCTGTATAAACCTCTGGGGAACCTCGTAGGTATGAGTAAGGGGGCGTTATTTAGCAACTGAGACAGTGGGCCCTCCTCACAGTTGCTCGATGCACATACAAAACAATACAAACTGATTGACTAATGCCGAACAAAATAGCTCTCCCTCTGCATAAAGCTAACCAGATTCCTCTCAGGAAGAAGCCTGCATGAATACTGGGAGCCAAATTTCTCCACACCAGTGACATGCCACTGAAGCCAATGGCTCCACTTCTCCTCTCGCACCAGTTTCATCAATATAGTTACTATTACTCCCGATGTACGCCTGTGTGGGAGAAGAATATTTCAGTGGAGGATAGAGCAGAGAGGAGAGAACTGGTCTCGATAAGATTAAACTTAACCTCTTTTTTGAAAAAATAAATATTATTGCTTATATTGCAGGAGTGCCTAGAGGACAGATGTGATGAAGTGAGAATTCTTCATCATGTTTTGTATGAATACTCTGTGTGCCTCAGTTTCCCCCATGTGCTGCATGGTTAACTAGGTGGGGGGGAAAGGTTGTGTACCCTTTGCAGAGCTCCAGGTATGGCTGTCTGGGCCTGACCCCATGCTATGAAGAGTCTCAAAAGACAATTGCTCGGACTTTTGGTACCTAGCAAATAACAGCTATGGAAGATCCACCTCTCCGCAGAAAGCCAGCCTGGTTTGACCAGCTGGAGAACAAAGGGCTAGGAGGAGGGCCAGGTGACAATGTTTGCCTGGGAACAAGGACAAAGGACTGAGGAGGGGCCGGGAGGTTGTTAAGGGTGGGTTGCTGGAAGCAGGAAAAGCTTCTGGACTGGGACTAAGAAAGGGTCAGAGGAGAGCTCTGGGCTCTGAACTGACCCAGGTGGCCTATGCTGTAACTCTCTGCTCTCTGTGATAACCAAGGACATTCGACGCTGCGTTCCAGACATGTAATACGCCCTTCTGCTTTTACAGCGCTGTCTGGGAGTCACTCCAGATAAAGGAAACTGGGGGTGCATTGCTCCCTTTAGGTGTGTAAGTCTCCCTCCGGGGTCCAATCCAGGTGGACTTGCTGCAGGGAGCTCACGGCATAAAGCAGGTGTGCAGAAGGCTCCAAGTTTTGGTCCCAGGAGGCTGTGAAGCCACGGGGTTTACCCCAGTGAGAGAGTGTGACCCTAAGGGGGCTGACGCACTGAAGGAGCTCTCCCAGGGACCAGACCTGTGGATCCGTGACAACAGGGCCCCGAAATGCCAAGCTCTTTGCAAACATACAGCAAAGAAATGGCCCCTACCCTGCAGAGCTTACACATCTGCTCTACTTGTTTCTAGACAGAGCCGCTCTTGGGGGGATCTTTGTTACAAGTGAGCACATGGAAGCATCTGAAAAATCTATTCTTGCAAGATTTCCAGCACCCTTTGGCAGACCTCAGCAGATCAGAAAAGCCCTCAGCTGATGGACGCTGATTGGTAACTTGTCTCCAAATGAGGAGCTTGATCCTGCATTCTTTGTGTACTCAAAATTCCCACTGATTTCAGTAGCTTTGGACACATACAAAATGTAGGGATTTGGTCCCTTTGGCGGTTTGCTATGACTAGTACAAAGCAGGATATACAGCTATACTATTGCACTGATACTAGGCCAAATCCTAGGTCCTGTAATTCTGCAGAGGAGAGCCTTGCACTGGTAGAGAAGCAGTATGGCCAGCCAAAAACCACGAGTGAGCCTTCCCTCACTCCATGAGACAGGCTTAAAATACATGGAATTTAAGAATGACCCATTTTGGGTTCTTTTCATTTGCCTGGTGGGGTTGGAGCCTTCAGGAGGCAGTCAGGCCAAGGTTTCAAGCCTTTCTTGGCAACCATGAGAACAGAAATGTACTCTGTGTTTATTAACGAAAGCTGGGCGTCTCCTACAATCACATGACTCCAGGAGCTGGGGCTTTAAGAAAAACACCAAATATCGCAAAACTCATGCTCAAGTTATGAGAGCTGGCAAGTGGCAATACTGGAGAAGAGAGAGCACCACTTCCACCCAACATCCCTCCGAGCACCAGTCGCTTCTTCCGTGGGAGTGAATGGGGCTGCCTGGCTGCAGAATAGCTCTTCAGCTGCTGCCCAGGAAGCCAGTTCCCCCAGGAACTGCTTAGCATCCCTGGGTGCTCATACTGGCCAGGCTGTGGGGTTGTGGCCAGGTTCTTCCCCATGCAGCAGCAGGGTCAGGATGTGGCCCATCGGCTGGAGTTTTGGCCTGACACAACTGTGCGGAGTGGATACAGAGAAGTAGCAATTTTATTTCTAATCCTCCATTAGTCAACACATGGAAACAGTGACCAACCATCAGCTCATCTGCACTCTATGGCACAGGGAAGCTTGACCCTGGCGTAACGAGCTGTCTCATTCTGGGGAGACGGCGGGATCCGATTGAAATGTTAAGATTCTCAGGACATGCACTTGTCCTTAGCTCTGGGGCAAATTCTGACATCACTACTCAGGGCCTGATTCTCAGTTACACTTTATGC